TAATTTGATATTTGTGTACTTGTCCATGTATTTATATATTTATTTAATATTTACTTTTACATTATTTTCTAACTTTACATCCCGTATTTGGGATAGTTTCTCCATATTCAATTGTAGGAGTTAAACTTTTTAGTACAATATGCAAAACATAATGCAATGGAATTGCAATGGTTGTGTGTCTCATCTGAATGAACTTCGTGTGATGGTTAGGGAGAACGATCCTTTCTGTATTGCATTACAGGAAACCCACTTGCGTCCAGAGACATCTTTCTGTCTTAGAAACTACAATACTTACCGCAAAGATGTCATACCAGACCGCAGAGCGCGAGGTGGTGTGGCCTTATTCGTAAAGCAGAATATCATAGCGGAGGAACAGAGACTGGATACGGAACTTCAAGCTGTCGCAGTTCGCATCACAACGCCATTTGCTGCTACATTGTGCAGCTTATACTTACCTGATGGCGATTGGCATATTGATCCGTTGTACAGGCTTCTATCAGAGCTTCCAAGACCAATTATTTTGATGGGCGATTTTAATGCGCACTCACCTTTTTGGGGATCTATGCGCAGAGATATCCGGGGACGAACTATAGAGAATACATTGATTCATCGAACTTAGTTCTATTGAACTCAGGATCTCCTACACACTTCGATATCAGAACAGCTGGATCCTCTGCTATAGATCTCTCACTATGCTCACCACAACTGGCTACTAGATTATCCTGGAAGGTCTTAGATGATCTCAATTTTAGTGATCACTTTCCAATCATCATAACAACGGATGTCCCCAAACTTTTCTATCCGTCACATAAAAGATGGTTGACTGCGAAAGCTGATTGGAATACATTTTCTGAGCACCTTCGTATCCCTCCTCTAACTGAAGACATTAATACAGCAGTGGACGATATCACACACGCTATAACAGATGCAGCAAAGATTAGCATTCCCATGACATCCGGGACCTCATCTAATAAAGCTGTGCCGTGGTGGAATGAAAACATTCGGAATGCAGTCAACGAGAAGAAAACCGCTCTGAATAGATTCAAGCGCAACCCAACCATGGCCAACATGATCTCTTTCAAAAAACTACGTGCTAAAGCACGAAGACTCATAAATGAGAGCCAAAAGAAATCATGGGAAACTTATGTCTCGTCCATAACTTCTGAAACACCTATCAAACAGATGTGGCAAAAGATCAATGTTATTGCAGGCAGGAATCCGTTTAGACCCCCAAGCGCTTTGAAGGTAGCTAATTCGGTAATCGAGTATGTATCTTGCATATGCGACACGTTTGCTGACCAGTTTGAACACGCTAGTAGCAATGCAACTTATGATCCCAACTTTCAGCAGCTCAAACTAAATTCCGAATCACAGGGAATCAATTTTGACACATCAGAACTACATCTATACAATGCACCATTCTCATATGAAGATCTCGAGTATGCCTTAGAGAACTGTAAAGACTCTGCACCGGGTATAGATATGATACCTTACTGCATGATTCGAAACCTTCCAAGGTCTGTCAAAACTCAGTTACTACAGTTACTCAGTTACCCATTCTCAAAGACGGTAAAGACCCTACTTCACCTAACAGCTATCGACCTGTGTCGCTAACCTGCTGCCTGGGAAAACTCTTTGAAAGAATGATAAGTCTTAGACTAGTATGGTACCTAGAACATAACCAGCTGATCTCAAACAATCAGGTCGGCTACAGGCAGCACCACTCCACAGTAGATGCACTCGTAAATCTTGAAAATGCAGTCCAGGGTGCATTCATTAAAAGGCAACACCTAACGGCAGTCATGTTTGACCTGGAAAAAGCGTTCGACATGACCTGGCGCTTCGGTATTCTGAAACAGCTCCACGAATGGGGTCTTCGTGGCAATCTCCCAAAACTTATCCAAAATTTCTTGTCTCATCGCTCATTCCGAGTCCAGGTCGGAGACTCCAGGTCCTCGACAAGGAGGTTGGAAAATGGCGTTCCACAAGGATCCGTTCTAAGTGTTTCACTATTCATCGTAGCCATTAACTTCCTGGTTGATAGCACTCCTCCGAACATTCAACCCCTCTTATATGTAGACGATCTCTGCATATTCTCCACCGCCGCACTTGATGGAAACTTTGACCATCTGCAGGATGAAATAAACAGACTAGACTCTATAGCAAGGAATAGAGGGTATTCCTTTTCAGCAACAAAATCGACGTTCATCCATTTTTGCAGACTTCGCACAGCACATCCGCAAGTCACTCTCACACTGAGAGGACAAACTATAAAAGCTGAAAACTCTGTTAAGTTCCTGGGCATTATTTTTGACCACAAGCTCTACTGGAAGGATCAAATTGAACATCTCACAACTCGTTGTAGAAAATCTCTCAACCTGATCAAATGCATAGGAAATACCCGATGGGGTTCAGACCGCGAAGCTCTCATAAAGGTTTACAAGAGCTTAATCGAGTCTCGAATTGACTATGCCAGAGTTGTTTACAATTCTACAAGACCATCCAAGAACAAGGCACTTGAAAGGATTCAATTGGCAGCCCTAAGAGCGGCTACAGGGGCTTTTCGTTCGAGTCCCTCAAAGCTGCAGCAATACCCTTAAGAGGTGAAATGCAAACTGCCATCTGTATGACTAAAATAGAATCTCTTACCAGACATATTAATCTGAGTATATTGGAAAGCGATAACGAACATACAAATCGTCCAACGTATACACGTCCAGCCAGAATCCGTAGCCTTGAATTCCAACAAGCGAACGACATATCAATAAGGGATGTGCTGCAGAGAGCCCCATACGACACTCCACCTTGGACTAGGTCAAAGCCACATATTGATATTCGCCTTACTGTATTTCTTAAAAATGAGACAGCACCCCAAGTGTATCTCGCTCGTTTCAAACAAATTACAGATCACCTCCACGATCATCTCTTCATATATTCGGATGGATCTAAGAGCAGTACCGGAGTGGGAGCATCAATAGTAGTTAACAGTGTTTGCCACATGTGGAGTCTGGATCCGATTTCAAGTATTTTCATTGCAGAATGTTATGCCATCTGGCAGGCACTTCTATTCTTTGCATTGTCATCTAGCTTAGCGTGTTCGATAGTATCAGACTCTCTGAGTGTGATCAGCTCCCTAGGAAATAACTTCACCAAGGATGAAAGAATAAGTCGAATCTTGAACTTAACCAGCTCACTAGAAAATGACCACAAAAAAGTCCGTTTCATATGGGTACCTAGTCATGTGAATATTGTCGGCAATGAATTGGCTGATGCAGCGGCAAAGCAAGCAGCCACCATGCCACCGGATGAAGGCATCCCTACTTCGCTATCTGACTATGTAAAACACTTAAAAGACACCACAAAACAAGCATGGCAGCACAAATGGGACCTATATGACGGACACATGAGATCCGTCCAGACAAGTATCTAAAAATGGACTTATCCGAAGCAACTGAATCGTCGGCAGCAGACAGTCTGATGCCGACTACGAATTGGCCATTGTAAGTTGACCGATGCGTACCTGTTGGCCGGCGATCACAGCATGTCAAACAGACCTGACTGTTCAACATATTCTGGTGGAATGTCGACTCTACAGTGATCTCCGCAGGGAACTACAGATGTCTTCCAATATACAAATCCTGCTCAAAACGAAATGGCCAAAAGTTATGGATTTCCTGCTGCGCTCGAATACATACACCAAGATATAGATACGCCTATTTCGTTACGCCTCCAGCCACTTCCCCATCAACATTTTACGACGCATTCTCACCTACATCCCATACCTATCTGTACTTACCTTATTATCCTTATACCATACTGGACAGCTCTGAAAAATAAAATGGTAAGCACGTGGATGTCACATCATTACAAGCGATCACATACTCGTATGTATGTGTGTACCTATAGTATGTACATATGAGTGTATGTTTACGTTGATTAGACTCATTGATTGTCCTTAGGAACGGCAGTTGGGAGATAACTGAAGAGGCAGCTTAGCTATTAAAGATTCTCAGTCACATGAAGAGTAAATATTGAACTTGTCTGTATACTATACTTACTGTTATTTATACCGTATATGTTTGTTCTATGTCGTTCTATTTCCATCTCAGATCTACCCCTGAGATGTTAGGCTTGGAAAAAAAAAATTACCTAACGAGGCAGGAGGGAAGCGGCTAATGACCTAGAAGTCGATGCCGCTGTGGGTTAAAAAAAATACTAATGGTAATAATAATAAATAATAATAATAATAATAATAATTATAATAATAATTAGAATTATAATTATAATAATTATAATAATAATAATAATTATAATTATAATAATAATTATTATAGTAATAATATAGTTATAATAGTAGTTTAGTGGTGGGGAGCTGGGAAGGTGAAGCATTTTGAAATTCGCATGGATGAAATACAAACCAAAAACCCACCCAGAAATGGGAAAGCTACCGCGCAAGCGGCCACGGCCAGCCAGAGAAAGGAGGGAACCATCCCCCGGTTTCTGGTGGTCGAACGGATTGATGGGGGTAACTTTGATAAAGTAAGCCCCTTTGTTGTGTCAAGAACATTATTTGGAATTGCTGGGAACCTGAAATTAATAAAGAAAATCAAATCTGGGCTACTGTTGGAAACCAGTACCGCAACCCAGGCAAACAGACTTTTGCAAACACAAAGAGTTGGAGATTACAATGTTGTAGTTAAAGCGCATTCCACGCTTAATTACTCCAAAGGAATTATTACTTGTGCTGATCTTTTGAACTCCACTTTGGAGGAAATATTGGACGGCCTGAAAACAGAAGGAGTTATTGACGTAAAACGTATGATGCGTAGAAGAGGTGAGGAACTTATAGAAACACCAAATCTCATTCTCACTTTTGATAGACCCAATCTACCTAATAAAATTAAAGCTGCCTTGATGTTCGCCCTTACTACCCAAGCCCTTTGCGGTGTTTCAAATGCCAGAAATTTGGTCATACATCCCAGAAATGTCCTAATACCGAAATGTGTACTTGTGGTCAACCCAATCACCCAGGAGAGCCGTGCAATGAACATAAGAAATGTATCAACTGTGAAGGACAGCATGCTGCTGATTCTAGAGAATGTCCGCGGATGAAGGAAGAAGTTGCCATCCAAAGAGTGAGGACGCTAGAAAAAATTAGTTATCTGGAGGCAAAAAGGAAAGTAATTAGCTCATCTCCCCGGGTGTCATACGCTCAAGTTACCGCTACCCCAAGTGCTACAGTTAATAAACTTGTTGAAGAACTCCTTCCTCTGCTTTCAAAAACGATAGAAACACAGATTAAACAAACCTTTGATAAATTTGTAAATAGACCAGTACGGACATTGACACCTTTAAATCTACCTCCTCCTAACCAATACCTATCGGATACGTCTACTCAACCATCTCTTTCAGAAAAGAGGAAACGTACTGTTATCCAAAAGGATAATGCGGATGATCCCGCAGACGATACTGACGAAAGCTTCTCGTCACAAGCCAGCGGAACATCCTCACTTGCTAAGAAAAAAAAGGGATGGCCGAAGGGAAAACCCAGAAAGCCTCCAGATGATAAGACGATTAGTTCCGATGTAATTGATCTCAACTAGCATTACGTAACGATGACTTCTGTGATATTACTTTGCAAAATGCATTTTTTATCCATATTTTTTATACATAGTTATATTTATATCTTTTTATACTCATATATATATATATACACCTTTTACTTATAGTTACACTTATTTTTCACACAATGTGTTCTATAGTGCAATGGAATATTAATGGATATAAAACGCACCACCCAGAATTGAAATCACTTCTGTTAAATGAGGCACCAATTTGTGCATGCCTTCAAGAAACGCATCTAGCAGAGTCAGACAGCATAAACCTACGTGGATATACATGTTACAGGAAAAATGGCATTAGGAATATTCGTGCCAAAGGCGGCGTAGCGACCCTTATAAAAGAAGATATCCCATCTAATGAAATCATGGTTGACTCACAATTGCAAGCAATCGTAGTACAAATCTTCCAGCCAGTTAAACTAACTATATGCAACATCTATCTCCCAGACTTCAGCTGGGAATCAAGACAAATGCGGCAACTTTTTTTCAGTTGCCTACACCTTGTGTCATACTGGGCGACTTCAACGCCCATAACCCATTATGGGGATCAGAGAAACTTGATATGCGAGGCCGCCTTATAGAAGATATCATCAACGAATATAACCTGGTGGTTTTGAACTCAGGATCAGGTACCTTCCTTAATATCCGCTCTCTTAAACTTAGCGCTATAGATCTAACAGTTTGCAGTCCTGAAATTGCACATCTGTTTACTTGGGAAACAATGGACGATCAATTCTCAGATCATCTGCCTATTAGAATAAAATGTGCGACCCGATGTTCAAACTTCTATTCCTCCCCAAAATGGCAAATTAAAAAGGCAAATTGGAGTAAGTTCCAAGAAAACATCAAAGCCCTTGAGTTTAAAGAATCTGTCGAAGAATCTGTGCAACAGCTCACCGAAAATATCTTGGACGCTGCTAAAGTGAGTATCCCTGTTTCAGGTTATACCTCTCCCATTAATATAAAGCCCAGAGTGTCTTGGTGGAATGATAGATTAGAAAGAGCATTGAAAGAAAAACACCATGCACTTAACATATTTAAAAGATACCCTACACAAGAAAATCTTATACGCTTCAAAAAATGTAGAGCTAATGCGAGGAAAATTTTACTCAACAGCAAAAAACATCGTGGAAAAATTATGTTTCCTCAATAACCTCTGAGACCCCGACTTCAGAAATTTGGTCAAAGATAAGAGCTATAAGTGGAAGATCATTAACTCTACCAAGTTCTATTCTCATCGTAATAACCAAGAAATATCCGAAAAGAACGAAATCTTGAATACTTTGGCACAACGATTTCAAATAAATAGTGGGACTGAAAGATATGCTGACAACTTCATCCAACAAAAAAATGAAGCAGAAGAAGTGGGAATTGACTTCGACGAGGAAAATATATCTGAATATAACCTTCCTGTAACTTTGGATGAACTGGAGTACGCACTCGCTGAGGTCAAAAGCTCTTCACCTGGTCCAGATACTACACTATGAAATGATACAACACTTACCTGTAAGTGAAAAACAAAAACTACTAGAACTATATAACAAAATATTGATAGAAGGTACTTACCCAAAACAGTGGCAAAACGCAATCATCATTCCTATCCCGAAAGCTGGTAAAGACAGTAAGGATCCCAATAACTACCGCCCCATATCTCTAACATGCTGCCCAAGTAAAATACTAGAAAAAATGTTAAACTTAAGGCTTATTGGTACCTAGAGAAACATGGATTATTGTCAAAATATCAAATGGGTTTTCGTAGGTATAGATCAACAACAGATCAGCTAGTCTATCTGGAAGCAGCCATTCAAAAAAGCTTTGCTAAAAGGCAACATACAGTAGCAGTATCATTTGACATTGAAAAAGCATATGACACTACATGGCGGTTTGGCGTACTGAAAACACTGCATGAAT